AGTCTCTAATCCAGTACAGTATTTTACTATTTATATATTTGCAGTACAACAGGTAACGATAAGCGTACGAGTCTACGACGATAAGATAAGATAGATTTTTTTCAAAATATGCAAAAAAAAAAAACCACCATTTACCTCATCATGAGCCGATTCGTGGACATTATTAACAAAAGCAGTAATATGAAGTTGCAAAAAAAAACATACCAATGCATATAAATCCTATCCATATTCATTATTTTATTAATATTAGAAATAAATACAAAATAATAATAATTATAATATGTCCATTTCGAAAATCCGTACTCTCAATTAAGGGTATTAATGTGTATTGAAAAAGTTTATTTATAGATATACGCACACACATATATATATATATATATATTTTTTATGAAGTTTTCTCCCCGCTTTGACATTATTATAATTGGATTTAATAATATTTTCATTAAACAATTATCTTTGGATTTTTATTTATTATAATAAATTCGCGATTTGCATAGCTATATTATACAAATTATAATACGACAAATGAAATAAATTATTTAATGAATATTTTATGACGAAAGTCTGTACGGATTTTGGAAATTAATTTGAATATTTCTGTTTTGTAATAATAATAAAGAATAACTGGTACCGATAAAAAAATAATAATAATAAAAGTTTTAAAAGGTAAAAATATTTCAAATAATCTTATAAAAATGCATAATTAACTGCTGTAGAAATATCGAATAAAAATACCTTATAATTACCGTACCGAACAAAAACACTATAGGCAGTTAACTCCCAAGTGGAATGTCTGGGGAATGTTCGTCGGAATTCATAATTAACTTTTTTCGTTCTTTTTTTTTTTTTTGTGCATTTATATACGCTATGGACGTATTTTAATCGTAAATATTTTTATTTTAATGATCAATACTTATTACCTATTAATTATTTTTTTTTTTTATATACTTATGTTAAGTACGTATTGCGTAGGCGGATTTCTTTTCACCGGCGGTTAACGGTCGGTGCAGAACGGTGGGGAGTAATTATGGTTGTGTTAGTGGTGGTGGCGGTTAGGTTAAGTTTTTTCATATTATGTATAATATTCCACAATAACAAATAAAATCATATCACCGTCGAGTAGACTTTTGATTTTCGTTTATACGGATTTCGTTCGACTGGAAAAAAAAAAAGATTTCTCTTACACGTTCCTCTCCTGCAGTAAACCGTATACGTAGATATATTATGTATAATATGCGTGCTGTTCAAACACGAAAAAATAATATTGTGTTTTTTTTTTTTCATCTCTCGTGATGCGTAAAATGACATACAAGTATATTCAGAGAAAAAAAAAGACGAAAAGAAAATGTAAATATATATTTTTTTTCTATTAACGTTCTAAAAATCTGATTTACGACGTCAATTGAGTTTTAAAATATATATATATACATTTAAAAACTGAAAATCCAATACAAATACGCTGAAAAAAATATAACAGATATATGCGTATTATATCTAACGTATAATATTATGATAACAAAAAAAAAAAAGAAAATATGTGTACACCGTCCCAGTAGATACTGTCTACGCACGGTGGCCGTTCAAAATCCGTTTATCGAAAAATAAGCTTTTAGCTTTACAAAAAGGAGATGACTCAATTATCGGAGCAAATATGTCGGGGCCCGTGGGCGTTCGCCGTAAGATTTAGCGACGAGGGTGGAAATGGAATTTTCGGCCCGAAACCCCGGAAGATATGTGAACTATGCAAAAGGTTTATATATATATTTATAATAATAATATTGATAATATACGGGGGAGGGTTTTTATTTCGTACGGCGAAGAATTTTAGCCATTTGTCAACTATCCGGAGTCAATTATTATTACTGTCAATGCTATAATATAATAATGTACGGCCGGGGTGACGTGTCGCGTGTCCGTGTTGTGAAATATATTGCCCGATCGAACGGAAACGGAATGCCGATCGTTTTTTCCGTACGATAATATGGAATTTTTGGTGGCCAGGTGTAAAGCTTTTTCGGTTTTCGTATACAAATGCGACAAAATAAAACGAACTGGACCCGAGACTCGTTATTTTCCCGGAATTTTACGTTTTTCAAAAAAAAAACAATAATTATTTACTCGCGTAATATTAAACGTTCGAAAATCGTGGTGAAGTCATTATCACCCGTATAAATATATATATTTTTTTTTTTTATATTTGTAATTAGTACATTTGTCAATTTGCCATTTATCAATTCACGATTCGTCCTTTTATCTTTGTCAATATTAATGATCGGTGACCCACTGACCCATACTGATTACAGTAAAAAATAGCGGCAAAAAACTGTTTTAGTAACATTTGTTTCTTTGTAGTGGAGAAAATAAGCGATTTTCAAAATATTACAAAAGATACGTTTCCCCTGCAACGTCCAAACGCAGAATTTGTGTGCGTCTAGACGCAACGTTCGCTCGTTTTCCCTGCGCGTGTCTCGACGCAGTAGTTGTTGTCTTTTCGATCAAACAGCGTTCACTGAAAATTTAGGGTTGCGCAAATGTGATCTAATACGCACGTGGGTTTTTTAAAATTTATTTTACAAACATCTCCATCACGATACAACGGCAATTAGTTTTAAATAATAATAATATTATTTGTGAATTGCTCATAGTTATAGTTATTCTTTAAAGTACCTCCTCACGCCGATTTTCTTTCGGAATAGGTGCTACACTTAGAAATCCGAGCAAGTCTTCTGATAGAAAATTTGTTTACGGATAAAAAAAAAATTAATAATAATAAACATCTTTGTAAAACCATAAGCTTCTTCACTGCACTCAGAATCTAAACATTTAAACGTTTCCGATTTGATTTTTAATAACATTACAATTACGGTTTACTCTCTGTTAAATTATTGATGCGTTGTTTGTTTCCCAGTCTATAATATTTCGTTATAATAATAGTATACATTTAGAAACGCGAAGACGGATTTATATGGGCGATATTTATATTTGGCACGTCAAAACATTTTTCAAGCTTTTTGGATTTGACGGGAGCTTTGAAAACTTCTGACGGAAAACTCTTATTTAAATTCTGCAATATCTCTGCGGCACGTGGGGTTTTTTTTTCCAACGAAGGGTGACTCTATCTACCCGCAGTAGCAGTCAAATGAAGTGAAAATGATAATGCACTCTTGTCGACCATACACCTGTCTATATAATATATTATATATATATATTATTACAAAACTGAAATACAAAATAAATAACTGGATATACATTATAAAGTTTTTTTCAAACCCTATCGTATACCAGAAAATGCATAGGTATTTATTTGACATATTTCGGTACCAACTTTGTTATCGAAAACCAACATCACAAAAACGAGTTTTATTGAAACATATTATTACGCGTTCGGAATACTGAAAATAAATTAATAAACAATTAAAATGGTTATATTTTAAAAGTTCGGTTATAATTTATTTTATTTTGTTTAACATTATTTCACATCAGATACTAAAATCATTTCAAATTGGACGAGGGAGGCCTGGAGAGTAGGAATTGTGTTTGAGTTCCGCATTTAGTCCAGGGGTGTCTCCGGACCTTGACTATAGGCGGGAGGAGTAGGGGCGAAATAATTAAATTCAATATTAACGATTGATAAGAAAAAAGGACGGACATAATTCGCACGATGGGTGGATCACTTTTGTACATGAGAAGTTGGGAGAAGTTTGGAAGGTAATTGGGTAGGGTACATGTGTAAACGAAAATTCATCATTGCTACTTAGCAAAAAAAGATTCTGAGTAGAATTCGGTTAATAGTATTGTTTTTTCAACAATAATATAACATGTAATATTACTGTAAAATAAATATTATATCGAAACAATTGGTATGAACCAGTAACTAGATTTTTTCCGCATAATTTTTTACTAAAACAACGTTCGTCCAAATTTGATATTAAAATTCTTATAAAAAAAAATTATTACATTAACTTAATTTTTTTTTAAATATCTGATGAATACATGAGTTTCCACTATTACCAGAAATGGGTTTATAAGTGAAATAAATCCATTTGATGATAAAAAATCTAGGTAATTGTTATCAACATTATTATTACCTTTTATATTTATATTCATATCGCCTAATAGTATTAGTATAGCCATAGTTTTATCGCAAATATCTTCATCTGCTAAAACGATTGCTTCTAAACGAGTCAAAAATGCATTAATTTTATCAGAGGGAGACCTGTATATACCAAGTTGATTTATCGGAACAACATAATTATTGATAACCAATTTAATAATATTATCTTCCCAAAAGTTGTATTCATATAAATCAATGTCTAAATGTCGTTTACTAAAAACAATTATATCATCCTTTTGGTTTCTTTTTATATTAGAGTAAAATATTTTATGCCCAGGTATATTATAGATAAAATTTTTAGGATCATGCCAGGTTTTCGTTTACACAGTTATAACTAAATTAAAATATGAATCAATCGATAAGAATAAAAAGAATTCATCAAAGTTAGCATTAACCATTAATGCTCCTAATATGAGCACATATCATTATAATTGTTTGATTATGACTAATGCTAATTTTTTTTTATAAATTCATATATTTATAGGTAGTAATTAATATTATATAACGTGTTTATATCAGCTATATCTAAAGCGTTCATAAGCTTACAGATTAATAAAATAAATAATAATGATCGTATAGTATTTTATGCGATATTATTTAAACTATATTCATCCTCAATAAAAATTACTTTCTTCAAAAATATTTTAACTAAACCAGACATATTAAAGTTATGTTCCTTCGCATACAATCTAGTTTTATAAAATAGATTGCCGTTTGTACGTGTTAAACGATTATTTATAAATAAATCTTCTTCATTCCATTTTGCATTCACATTCTTTGCATTAAGCTTTTTCTTCCTCGCCAACTCCATCAACGTTTTTTTTGCTATTAAAACTGCATACGACAGTTACAATTTTTCCACATTTCTTTTAATATGATATGCATATTATTCAACAAATACAGGTCCCCCTAATGTCTTTGAAATCGCCTCTAAAATTTTGATACAGTCTTCATTTTTTTGTTCTAGAATACCGACTGTTTCAATATGATTTTCAATTAATTTTTGCTCTATAAAGTTAATTTTATTATTGACTACACTCATTTCATTCTGCAACTTTTGATTTTGTTCTTTTAACTTCTTATTCTCATTTCTAACATATTTAATCGATTTAATTTTACCTCGTAGTTGCATAGTGTGATCATCAAATTGCCCGCTCATGAAGTTAAACCAGTTTTTCAGATCCACTAATAATTTATCCGAGTTACTACAGTCCTTTACTAAAGTGAGCTTATTTTTATTACTTAATTCAGAAATAGAATATTTGTAATTTTCACAGCACCATTTCTCTTTATTTGCAGCACTCGTTTTCCTGAAGTTCGTTTCTCTAAAACCATCATATGTAAAGTGTAAGAATATTTTACATTTTTTATATTTGATATCTTCATTATCATAAGTTTCGTCGTTACAGACAGTACACACTAACATATTGTCAGAATTATATTTTAAAATTTTAAATCATTTCGGTAAAATAAAAATAAGGGAACAAAAACCCAACATACACGACTGACGTTCGTACGCCACGAATGATAACTGATATTTGTGTATATGTCGTATCCACTTAGTGTAATCGTATTTTTCATGAAATGGATGTTCATTTCATGAACTGTGATCATAACGTGTAGGTCAAATTTTAGTTCATGAAACTGACATATATTTTATCCATTTCATGAAATGGAAACACTTATTTTACACTTTGTGTAATATTTTAAATTAATTACATCAATAGGTAACTTTTCGTGAAATCGAAATAATAACATTGATACTGGTACGTATCGCACCGTACTATATTTATTATTAATAAATTGTAAAGATGAGATATCGACCGTTCAGCAGATAAATTTTAGTCGATAAATATATATTTAATCAAAACTCAATTGAATCAATTGTATAAGTGTGATACGACCAAGGCATTTTGGAAAATCTGTATATTATATTATTTTTATATGATACCAGTACGTCCTCTGACTTGAAGCGAGCCGTATATTAGCGTTAAAATGGAGAATTTGATTCATATTCTGAATTTTATGAACAGTTTAATGCGTAACACGTAGACAAGCCTGGGAAAAAGCCACGTATCGTTTCATGAACTAAAATTTGACATACACGTTATGATCGTAGTTCATGAAATGAACATCCATTTCATGAAAAATACGATTACACTAAGTGGATACGACATATATACAGATTTTATAGAATAATTATTATAGCACAATATAACACGAACAGATTTCGGAAGGAGGGATGGTAGAACCCTTAAAACTCCTCTCGGGTACGGCCTTCGCTATTATTCATCTTTTTTAGTATCTATTTGTAATTATGGTAAAACAAAAAGGAAATTTAGTGTTTTCAAAACTTTCAAATAAATAATGTATTTTTCTAACATGTTTTGTAACACAATTTTTGACCCGAGTACAGTTAACCATTAACTTTATTTTTTTTAACCCATGTGTATTTTGAGTGCGAATAAAAATGCGATTTAACCTTTTTCAATAATATTCGTAGGGATTATATTGGTATGTTATTTGGGTAAGTACTTCGTATTATATTTTACGGAAACACAAAACTATTAACCCTAAACAGCAAACCCTTCAAACGTGTCACTGGCCATAACGTCCACATTCAAATGCATTCTCTCCTCGTTATTATCCTACTGATCGAGTGGAATAAGGCCTTAATGACTGCGACAGCGTAATTCGTACATGTACGACCTAATACGAGAACTAATTAACGAACAATTGGTGCGAGATTATCGCAGTGTTGTGCGGGACCACTCTATCAAGTTGCGGATAGTAGGTACCTATATTAAGGGACAACATATTCATTTTGACGACATTAAGTGAGCCTCATTTCCTTGTTGAACATTTTTCGCTCTATCTTAAGGTAAACGGCACTACGTTCAGTTATCATAAGTAACGGAAATAAGACGATGGAAAATACAATGTCACGATTATGTATACACGAAGATGTATAACACTATGTTCACATTATTTTTAGAAATTATCAAAATTCAGTATTAAAATCAGTGTTTCTATCTTGTAAAGTATACTAATAATGATGTGTTCAAATTTCGTAGAGCAATTCGTATTAGCCACGAAGAAAAACAAATGTATAAACGAAAATGATCGAAAATTTGATCTCTTGTAATCTTATTATTTTATGACGTGGTTTCCTTCACTTCCGGGGTACAGTTATATTTTTACAATAAATAGAAAGATTTTCGTTTTTTTTTTTTTTAACACTGCGAAAAAAACCAATAAAATCGTATCGTTTGAAGGAAATACGGCTCGTGTCGTGTCACGCACTCGTGTTTGAATCTAAAATGCGATGAGCTCAGCGAAATTTACCCGTCTCACTCGAATATGGTATCTATTTGAGAGAACCCTCGACTGCGGGAGTTCGGACGCGTGTCTATTTATTCGAAATATTTCAAAAGATATACACAAACGATGGATGGTTTTATTAAAAAATCCAGCGGGGAGTACTTGCGATTTGCCACGCAACAGAGAGTTAGTACGAAATTCAAACGTTTGCCGGAATATTATTTATCCGGGTTAAATGAACTATAATATGATAGACGCTTCGTATTTCGAAATTAATACTTACTGTTTTTCTATTATTTAATTTTTTTTTTTTATTATTATTTTATTATTATTTATTTAGGAAAAACACAATCTATACGCATTTATACGACTTTTTGACATACATTATTTTATATATTTAATAAAAGAAAATATTTACTTTCAATGAAAACACCCCTTGGAGATATTCCTATCGACATATTTAAATTTAATATTATTATTTTTTATTATTACATTAATAAATTAATGTTAAATTAGGTCTGTAAATACCACGGTCTTTAGGCGACTGGGAGAATTATTGTCCTTAGTGTTTTTATACTGTATGTCTCATTAATCGTTTATAACATTTTCGCGCCTGGTATTTGGGCGACTTTAGCTCTATAATTTTATGGCACCATCCCATTAAAAGTTGTGGAAATCTGAAATTGTGGGTTAAGCGAGCAAATTGGCAAGAAGGCCGCGATAATAGTATTACTGAACGTCAATAATGTATTATTTAAGGAAATATGTAGATGTTTATAACTTAGGAGTATTAAGTCTTTATTTCTATTTCTTTATTATTCTCTTCTTTATTATTATTTGTAACTCAATTTAATTTTTTATCTCACGTCTACTATAACTCCCTACACCACCTCAAGCTCTGCTTAAAGGTGTAGGTAATTTTTGTTATTTTCATTAATACTTTGTATGCTACATTGTATTAATATGTATATATGATAAAACAATTTCTTTTAACAAAAAAATATGTACATATATATTTCTTCTGTCTGTCATTAAACTTCTAAACGGTTCAACTGATTTTAATGCAATTTTTTGTCTGTGTTTGAATTGGTCCCTGGATGGTTTAGATTCACAATTGGATCTGATAGGTGGCGTTGCAAGAGTAGCTGACATAGGGCTATTAGTAATTTTAGTACAGCGATCAAATTATTTTTGTTGATTTATGAGTTACCTTGATGATATGTATGAAATTAAAAAAAACTAAAAACATTAATAAATAGTAAGATAGTCCGTGTAAGTTGTCCTAAAATTGAAGTGTTCATCTGATAGAAAAAAATAATAAATAAAGATCTACCATAGAGCGTCACAAGAGTCATACAGTAGGCGTTGTATTGAGTGTGACCGACACCGACTCGACGTCATAGCAAATCTATGTCACTAAGGGCCGGTTTCACCATCGATAGTTAAGGTGCGATTTACCGGTAAAAAGTAATTTCATCTCCTAGAGTTATGCGGTAACTCCAGGTTAATTTTTCTTTATAATAAATAACTCCCACTTTTCACCTGTTTATTTTCATTCATTACTGGCACGGTCAAAACCAAAAAGGAATACGGGTAAAAAAAATTGGCAAGTCCGGGCGGGTTAGCTATTATAAAAGCGAAAATAGTAATCTTTTTCACGGGTCGGCTCCGAAACTACTTGACCAATTGTCATACGGTTTTTTTTTATTTTTAAAAAGAGTTTATTGCGGAGAAGCTAATAAGCTATTGAAAACATAAATCTAACCAGTATACGAAGTATACGTGACCTGCAGTAGTTCGGGATGATAAAAAAAAAAAAAAAAACGACTTGTCGAGTATTTTTCATTGTTTAGCGACCAATTCATACGAGTTGGAAAAGAAAAAAAAAAATGAATTTTTAAAAACGATCTACAGTGATGGTGACGGGGAACGAAACGGGAAATCCGGGGGGAAAATCGTTTTTATCGCACATTTGTTTGGCACGGTCAACGCTGGACGGGACCACCACCGGTACCAGTTATCGTAAAACTAGATTGCAACAAATGTTCGGATTACAAAACGAAATTATTTTCAAAATTACTGCCGCGTAAGTGACCCGCAAATAGAACCGCGGCGGCTGTACCGTTAAGGCTACAACCCGGTGCTCTTCGGACTCGCGATACAACCGTGGAATTCCCGAACGCCGCTCCGTCTTTTATAATACCACATAACACACACGATATTATTATCCGCGACGACGTCGCGCCGTAGACGGGCGGTGGCTTTTGCGTTATGAGTCATAACTCGGTCAAAGTCTTTTACGGTCGTATCCCGTTTGATACCGTTGCCCCGCCGTTGCCTACGGTCGCGGCGCAGACCGCTATAAATCAGACGGCGGCGGTGGCGCGGAAACGCCGCGGCCGAATAATAATACAATAACAGCTGCGTCTACGGGCATAACCCCTTTGTAACGTTATGTAAGTATACGCGAGTACGTGTCTGCCGTACACCGCGGCACGCGTTTTGTATAAATAATAATAATAATAATAACAATAATAGCAAACAGATTGCCCGTGCCAAATGACGTGTGTACGGGAGAGCATGCCGTAACCGCGGTAACACAATACGCCGACCGGGGTCGTGTGCGTGCGTATGTGCGTGTGTGCGTATGTGCGTATGTGCGTGTGTGCGTATGTGCGTATGTGCGTGTGTGCGCGCGCCCCCGCGGGTACGATCGTATTATAATATTATCGCGAACCGCAAAAGCGCGCGTCTTTGATAATAATGTACGCTGCGCGCGTCGTGTTGTTTATATCGCACGAACACACGTCGTCGGGTCCGACACACCGTTATTGTATTGTATTTTATTGTCGTCGTACATTTTATGGCGGCGGCCGGATAACTGCGCGTAACGGTATAGTCACGCGTGGAAACGCAATAATATATCCACCCCCTCACCCCCCCCCCCCAACCCCGAACAATCGCGACGCGCGTTAAACAATATTATTTTAGGAACCGCCGTAATTCAGCCGATAAATATGTTCGCGCGTCGACCGTATTTTCGCCGAACCGCGTTTCAAGAAGGGGGGGGGGAGGAGGCGTGTAAAAAGTCGTATGGACCGCCGC